AGAAGCTCGTTAAAAGGATGGGGGATGCCGCTTCGATATTCTAAAACCCTTCCGGGTTTGAAAAAGTGTTTTGATATCGCCTCGTAAATGCCAAAAATAACGAATGTTTTACAAATAACGAAATTAACGAACGAAACCGCACAGGCCTAGTGAACATGGAATGGCTTAGAACAGGGGTCCTCAAACTAAGGCCCGGGGGCCAGATACGGCCCTCGCTCAGGGTCAACCTAAGTCTGGAATGACTTGAAAGCACACAACAACAACAACAACAACAATCCTATCTCATCAGCCAAAAGCAGGCCCACACTTCCCATTGAAATACTAATAAGTTTATATTTGTTAAATTTGTTCTTCATTTTAATTATTATATTGTTTTTTTAAAAAAATTGCACTACAAATAAGATATATGAAGTGTGAATGGGAATTAATTCTTTAAAAAAAATATAATCCGGCCCTCCAACAGTTTGAGGGACTGTGACCTGGCCCTCTGTTTAAAAAGTTTGAGGACCCCTGGCTTAGAAGATGCTAATGGAAAATGTGTTTTACTGGAAGATATTGGTGATTATATGTTTTAATGGTATTTATGACTGTTGTGGCATCAAATTGCTGCCAATTTGTGAGCCGCCTTGAGTCGCCTTTGGGCTGAGAAAGGCAGGATAGACATGCTGTAAATAAATAAATCCACTGTTTGAATGATATGTAATATTCTCAGGCACAGAGTGTATATTTGGAATTGCTGCTTTGCTTCCAGTTTCAGGGCCCTTCCACACAGCCATATAACCCAGAATATCAAGGCAAAAAAAATCCCACAATATCTGCTTTGAACTGGGGGGCCTTCCACACAGCCATATAACCCATAATAACAGCTTTGGACCAGAATATCTCAGTCCCTACTGCCATATATCCCAGTTCAAAGCAGATAATGTGGGGTTTTATTCAGCTGTGTGGAAGGGCCCCAAGTTATCTGAGTCCACACTGCCATATATCCCAGTTCAAAGCAGATAATGTGGGATTTTATTCAGCTGTGTGGAAGGGGCCTCAGCCCGAGTAACTGCAGCTGTCTTTCTTGCTTCGAAAGGAAAGCTAAGGACCATCTTGGTTATTATGGTTGCTCTTTTTTTCCTTTTCCCCTCCAGAGAAAGCTACCAATGGCGCCCTGCAGAATGAAGACTGGGCTCTCAACATGGAGATCTGTGACATAATTAATGAAACAGAAGAAGGGTGAGGAAGTGCTGTTAAAATGCTGAGTGACATTGCTCATTTCTTAGGGTGTGCTCATTGTTTCACTTGCTCCAGCCTCCCCTGCGGTGCATGAGACTTCCAAAATGCTCACAGCCACACCCTGTTCAGGAAGAGTTCTCCGTGTATAGAGAGGCGGTGGATGTTGTTATGCTTCAGAGCTCACCCCTGGGTCCCTTGACACTTCCAGAAGAGAATATTGCTACAATGTGCTACTGGAAATCTGCTTTTATATTGTCAGCTGCCAAATGCACCATTAGCAATAATTCTTAGTGTGACAAGGGAATAAAATCAATCTGATTTTCCCTGCTATTTTTAAATTTAAGATATATTTTACAGGCAGTTCCTAACTTACATACAAGATAGGCTCTGTAGGTTCATTCTTAAGTTGTGTTTGTATGCAAGTTGGAACAGGCCCAGTGTGCGCTGCTGGCCTTAAAAATAATAATAAACAAACTTCATTCATATCCCACCCTATCTTCCCGAGGGGACTCGGGGTGGACTCCAACAAACAAAAAGGCAAACGTTCAGTTCCTCAGTAACAATATGTACAACTGTAATAACCCTACATAAAAAGACAACTAAACATGACATCCATAACTTAGATAAAAACATAATCTATCAGAAATTATTACTAACATAAAAAGTGAACATAAGACATTGTATTACATTACAAAAACCAACGAAGGTTCAAAGATGTATGTGTTGATTGTTAGGACACCAAAGCTTCCAGCTATGGAAAGGAAAACTAGAGAAATTGATAACCCTTCCTTCATGGAACCTCTCCACTTTATCCCACCGCATCTGTATTATAGAATGAATGCAGTTTGACATCGCTTTAATTACCCGGATGCGATGCTATGGAATCCTGGGGGCTGTAGTTTATCTTCTCTGTTGCTCCCTCGCCAAACTACAAATTCCAGGATTGCATAGTATTGAGCTATAGCAATTAAAGAGGTGTCAGACACAAAGGAAAGGAAATGGGGAGGAAATATCTAGGCACAGATCAGAGGAAAGGGTTGGGGAGAGACAGATACAGATATGCTTTGGCTCAGCACTAAGATTTTGTGGCAAGAAGGGAGGAAAGATGTTCATTCGTAACTATGTGTTGTACATAAGTTGGATGTTCATAATTTTAGAACTGCCTGTATTCTTTTATTTCAAAAGGCAGCTTGCTGTGATGTATTCTTTTTTTTAGTAACCCCAATTTTTCCTCTGTCTCTCCCATTTTTTCTTCTTCCTGGGAGTTTATTATTCTTCCAGTTGCTGGCTGAAGATCTCAAGAATTTCAGCTGGCCCTTGATTCTGATTTTGTTTATTTACAACTAGGGCTTTGCTCTCAGGTGCATTTATAGTATAATAAAATCAGAGAATGTAGTGGGGAGAAAAGTACCACTTTGTCAATTTCATTCTTACCTTGTACTGTTTCCCCATCAGTCTTGTGCTGAGATAACACATGCTGAGCAAAGTAGTGTAGAGACAATCAGACATCTGATGAATGCCAACCCATCCTGGATCCTATAAATAACTGTTTGTGGGTCTGTTGGTGACCTCAGTAAGGACGAGAACAGCGTGTAATTGAAGTGGTGGAATGCAAAGCAGTGGTTTTGTGTTGCTGCAATTAAGGGAAGCTATGTACTACTTTTCATTCTTGCAAATTCCACAGGATTTTTCTTCAATTTCTGATTATTGTGTCTCATTTCTGTCTTCCTAGGTCATACATCTCTTCTAAGCATGTCCCCAATAGAGTCAAGCATCACATCCTCCTCTACCCACAAACACCCCTCAGTATCACTTTCATGGCTTCAGACATTCCATCAGTTCTCATAATTACTTGCTATGGTAGATGATGACTAACATGCCTGTGTCCTTAGAGACTTACTGAACTTTGTATTTGCCAGCCTAAAACTGGTTGCCATGGTAAAAGAAGTGAATCGGATTAAGTCATCTGGTTTACAAAAAGTATGGGCCATAATAATAGACGTTGTAGTCTTTAAGGTGCTGCACAACTCTATAGTTATTAAAACAAATATTGTCAAGCATTTTGCATTTTAGAAGAATCAGATTTTGTTATGACTAGTACTTGTATTCAGAGCCAGGTGAATGCATCTCTAGAAAAAATGTTACTTTGTTTCTTGCACACACCAATCGGTTCCCAATGGACCTGTCAAGCAATAGCAGTAGTCGTGATACATTTTCCAACAGTCACCAGGCACATGTAAAATGTATGGCCTCATGGTAAGGCTTCAACCATCTCCCATTCAACCATCTCCCATTATCCTGGCTTTGATTCTCAGTCTCTTCTCTGAAATATGCGGGTTGAGTATCCCTTACACAAAATACTTGATATCAGAAGATTATTTTGGATTATTTGGGATTGGGGAATATCTATATTTTCATATGCAAACATAATGAGATAACATGGAGATGGGACCTAAATTTAAGCACAGAACATTATTTGGAATTTTTCTGGTTTGGGTAATTTCTGTATTTTCATATGCATACATAATGAGATATCATGGAGACAGGCCCGTAGCCAGGATTTTGATTCCGGGGGGGGGGGGGGGGCTGAGTTTGATTCAGGGAGGGGCTGAGTCTGAGTGAAAGAGGGTCTACCCTAGCAAACCTTTTGTTATCGTTACCCCAATACCCCCATGCATATGAGATATATTGAGCATGGTGATCAGATCATGATATGAATAAACATAACAGTTTAAATAATGTACCAGTAAGGCCTTTTCGCAGACCACCATGAGAATTTGGGGGGGGGGGGCTGAAGCCCCCAAAGCCCCCCCCACCCGGGCTACATGCCTGCATGGAGATGGGAACAAAAATCAGTTCTGTACACCTTATACACAGCCTGAAGACAATCTTATACGCAATTTTTGTAATGTTGTATTTGAAAGAAAGGTAGTGTACATCAAACCATTAAAGTGCCATTATCTCAGCCACTATTTGCACAAATTTGAGTTTTGGAATATATCAGAATTCTGGATAAGAGATATTCAACCTGCAGTCTTCATTTTCCCCCTCACACACATGCTTTGGACTTCCAGAAAGTGTATAAAGTGTAAAAAAAAACCAACCCCACAAGAACAGAATGTCCTAGATTCTTTTGGCGTACTTTGCATATAAACCTTTCCTCTCACCCCAGCTATGTAGTGCCACAATATTTGGCTGGGGCATAATTAAGATACATTCATAAAAGTATGTTTTGTTTTTGGGTGTTTGTTTGTTTGTGTGTTTTTGCATATGTTCAGCTTATCTGTGTTTCTGTTTGGGCTTTCTTGCTCATTGTGCTTCCTGATCTTACTGCCTATTTGGAACTGTTCCATTATCTGGGTGGAGGCCACAAGGGGGCACTAGAGAGAGAAGGATAGTGCATTTTACGGGGGTGGCAGGTGGGTTGAAGGAGGAAAACAATTTTCTCCAGTTTTCCTGTTATTCCCCCCACCCATGTCCCTGTCGTGGAAACAACCCTCATTTATGATATTAGAAGTGGGGAGGGGGAATTACCAGCGAAACAGGAAAATTATTTTCTTTTTTCAACTCCACCCCTGTAAAATGGACTATCCTTCTCTCTTTAGCGCCTTCTTGTGGCCTCCATGCAGATAATACAACTGATAATATTCTTTTGTCCCTAATTGTAAGCCACCTTGAATGCAATGACAGGGAAAGGGCAGTATACTAATAAGATAAATTTAAGCATATTAAGACAGTGAGGAGGAAATTGCTGCTAGTGATATTGCGAGGAAGAATTCGCTGAACTCACATGGCTTGCTGGGCAGTTCTGTGACTCCCAAGTATCTGCGGAATAAAGCTAATTGAGTATTACTTCTTGGAATACAGCAGGTGTACATCCTGTCTGTGTTGTGTTGTGATTCCTCCTTGATCTCGCTTATCTTCGTTTTAGGCCAAAAGATGCCTTCCGAGCCATAAAGAAAAGGATTGCAGGGAACAAGAACTTCCATGAGGTGATGCTGGCGTTAACAGTGAGTATGATGCCCGTTTTCTTAAAACAAAGCTTCACCTAATCCTTTATTTCTTAGTATCTGTTGGCTGTTAGGAGGCTATCAGGATTATTCTAGAAACTGTCTGCTTCAAGGATATCTCTGGAAAAATTGTGAGATCACTAAACTGGAATGTTAAGTCTTAGATTCAATAGTGGGACAGCAGTAAATGTCAGGTATGTTGTGAATGTTTAGTTGAGCAGAAAATACAGGAGACTCTCCACTTTTGTGGTGCTTAGAACATCAGAATTCCTGAAAAAGTGGAAAAACTATAAATATTTTTTTTCTTTACACAAGAGAACACTTTTCTAGGAATCTCCAGGTTCTTAAGGGCAATTTTTTAATCACCTTCTACTGAATATTTACTATAGAATCAGCCCAGAGGGCCAGAAATGTCTAAATCAAAACCACAAATAATCAAATCTGCATAAGTTAAACCAATATTAAAATCAATTGCATAGCAGTTTCATTGGGCAGCTTTAGTAGGCCCATTTCTCTATGATTGCCTTCTGGACCTTTTGCCAATGTAGCAGTAGAGTTTGATGGTAAGTGTTGGTTGCTAAACTGCAGTTTTATCTTGTGTAAAGGAAACAGGTAGGAAGGGGGTTGAGGAAACCTCAAGCACCGATATCTTGTCTATTCTTCAGGTTCTTGAAACATGTGTCAAAAACTGTGGCCACCGCTTCCATGTTCTGGTTGCTACCCAGGATTTTGTAGAAGGTGTGCTAGTGCGAATTATTCTCCCCAAGAACAATCCTCCCGCCATTGTGCATGACAAGGTGCTGACTCTTATACAGGTGAGTACAAGAGTGAAGGCTTTCGACCATGTTTAGAACTTTATCTGCCATATTTGAGGACCTTGTGATTTGTTTCACCCTAAGCACTTTACAGGACTGATCTCTGCCTATGAACCCACTAGGACTTTGAGATCTTCCGGGGAGTCCCTGCTCTCGATCCTGCCTGCAACACAGGCTCGGTTGGCGGGGACGAGAGACAGGGCCTTCTCGGTGGTGGCCCCTCGGCTGTGGAACACCTTTCCCACGGACATTAGATCGGCTCCATCGCTAATGGTATTTCGGAGAAAAGTGAAAACCTGGTTATTTGAACAGGCGTTTGAATAGGCAGTGCAATGAATATAGGAACAGAACAATGGATGATGAGTTTGCATCATGTTTTCAGTTATGAGACGCCAGTGAGTGGTTATTGTCATTAATTGATTAGTCTGTTATTGTGTTAATTGTTTTTAAATATATTGCTGTTGTTGCATTGAATTTTTGCTGCTACTGTTGTTAACCGCTGTGTTGTTCTGCTACTGTTGTTCTCAGCCTAAGGGCTGAGAACAGCGGTATACAAATAAAGTAAGTAAACAAATAAATAAATAAATTACAGTTTATTTTGATATCTGCAGCCACTGCCGCGTTTTATTGAATCATTTAAGTTGGTAGGGGGTTTTATATGATGTTGTATGTAATTTGTTTGTTTATTTATTTATTTACTGCGCTTATATACCGCAATTCTCAGCCCCAAGGGCGTGGATTTTATTGTTATTTGTGTGATTTGCTTATGTAGTAAAGGTAAAGGTTTTCCCCTGACATTATGTCCAGTCGTGTCCGACTCGGGTGTAGCGCCATTTCTAAGCCGAAGAGCCGGCATTGTCCATAAACACCTCCAAGGTCATGTGGCCGGCATGACTGCAAGGAGCGCCATTATGTACTTATTGTATTTTATAGGTTTGCACTATTGAGGGCTTTTGTGAGTTGCCTGGAGTCCCTTCGGGGAGATGATGGCGGGGTATAAATAAAGATAGTTGTTGTTGTTGGTAAGGTAACACAACTGTGGGAAATCTCTTGTTTGGCAAGTAGTTAATGAAACAGAAGGGAAAAAAGAAACTGGATTGAAATCAAGTACTGTAGGTATCATTTTGTGTATTAAGATTTTGACAAATGTGTCTGTTCTTAGAGGGCTGCTAGCATAGATCCCACTGAGGTGAGGTTGGCAGGGACGAGGAGCAGGGCCTTCTCAGTGGTGGCCCCTCACCTATGGAATTCACTCCCCGGGGAAATTAGATCAGCGACATCCCTCCTTTCCTTTAGAAGGAAATTAAAAACATGGATGTGGGACCAGGCGTTTGGGCAATCTGGCAGATAGATAATGCACAAGTGACGACCAGAATTGTTGGATTGGACAATGTGGAATTTGAATTTACGGACTATGAGATGATAAACATTGAGCACGAGATTGTTTTTAAGGATTGTGATATATAATAGATTGTTTTAATTGTCTTAACTGCCTAATTGTTTAATTACTGTTTATATGTTTTATTCTTTTACCTTGTTGTTGTGCTGGCATCGAATTGTGCCTTTTTGTAAGCCGCCCTGAGTCCCCCCTCGGGAGTTGAGAAGGGCGGGGTAGAAGTGTGAGAAATAATAAATAAATAAATAAATAAATAAATAAATAAATAAATGATGAGGATCGAGAAAGCAGACTGTTTGCTTATATTTGGGGCATGCCACTGATATTCAAGATGGCTGCAGCTGGTGACTCAGTCTTAGGGTATTCTTGATAAGATTTGCCATTGCCTTGCTCTAAGGCTGAAGGAGTGTAATTCACCCAAAGTCACCCAATAGGTTTCTGTGAGTGAAGCAAGATTCAAATGCTGTTCTCTTGGAGGCTTAGTCCAAGACTCAAAATACGATACTAAATTGTCTCTTTGGACTTTGTGACACGCCCAAGTTATTTTCAGTTAAAAAATAACAATAACCTCAACTCTGTGCAAGCCAGACTTTCTCCCAAGGAAAGCTAATTTCTTCAACTGTTGTATGCTATGCAAATGAGCTCAGCTTACACATCTGTCCTTTTGAACCATGCCTTCTGCTGTGTTTGCTATTGTGTATAGTTCATTTAGGTGTTGCTAACAATGGAGCAGGGCATAAAATTAGGCAAGGACCTAAAGACCTCCTTTCATCTTGTAAAAATCTTATTTAGCCACCCTCTTAGCTATTTGTGTTTCTTTTAGCATCGTTTACATACAAGGGATAGACATGCATCTTTAAAGTAAAGCAAACTTTTATCTGATTCCACATATGCTTTCTCTTATTTCATGCAAACTAAAACTAACAAATATGCATTATTACAATAACGAGAAGTTGCATTTTTCTTCCTCCTGTCTTCCAGTCTTGGGCTGATGCCTTCCGTAGTACACCAGACCTGACAGGGGTTGTAGCTGTTTATGAGGACCTGAGAAGAAAAGGTCTTGAGTTTCCCATGACTGATCTGGATATGCTGTCCCCCATCCATACACCACAGAGGGTGAGGGTAAATCTTTATCACTATAAGGTTCTTTATTCAATAAGTGTAACAGAAAAGGTGAAATGCTAGAGATAAGAGTATGTGCCTAGAAAAAAATTAACTGAAATTCCAGTATATTAATGTAATCTATAAAAATGCCATTGTTCCCAGAACGTTGCATTCAAAGACAATAAGGGTTTTTTCCCTTCAGCATTTGATAATAACTTGCAGGATTTATAATTCTTTGAAGGACTTAGATTTTTTTTTATGTATAACACTAATTACTGATTTGGCCAGCATCTTAAGGTGTAATTTGGAGGGTTGGTTATTTTTGTCTTTGTTCAGCTTCTCATGGCATTGAATGTTTGCCGATATCTGTTGTAAACTGCCCTGAGTCCCCTTAGGGAGATAGAGTGGAATATTTGTGTGTGTGTGTGTGTGTGTATGTCAGGAGAAACTTGAGAAACTACAAGTTGCTTCTGATATGAGAGAATTGGCCATCTGCAAGGACGTTGCCAAGGAGACACCTGAATGTTTTGATGTTTTACCATCCTTGTGGGAGGCTTCACTCATGTTCCCGCATGGGGAGTTGGAGCTGACAGAGGGAGCTCATCCGCACTGTCCCCGGATTCAAACCTCCAACCTGTCAGTCTTCAGTCCTTCCAGCACAAGAGTTTAACCCACTGCATCACCAGAGGCTCCTTAGGGTGGAATATGAATAAATTATTATTATTATTATTAATAATAATAATAATAATAATAATAATAATAATTCTGCTATGACATGCTCATGGACACCTAGTTTGTGAGTATATGCAAAAGGGATAACCCAATGTAGTTTACCTTAGAAGAACTAGTGATATCGCTTGTTACACACCCAGTTGCAGTGGTAGTTGTGCATGCAGTAGTGTGCCGGAGGATCACAAGAACAAGCACAATGTTACTGTACAACTGGAAAAAACAGCAGAACTCTGCAGATAATTTTCCTTTGCTAATGTTACATTGGATTTAGGCCAATGTTATGGATTAGTTTCCTTTTTTTTAATTCAAACGGATATTACTTATGATAAATAGAGAAGCTCTTTACAGAGAAGTTGATTGGCATTGACATGGGGAAGGAAAAGTGCTTGAGGTAGCAAATCAATATGGATTAAAAGATCCTTTTAAAAGCATTGAGGGTCTTTTTAGAATACCTGAAAAGTATTACAACTTTTGTGATAAATAAAAAATGAAAAATAAGGGCAACTTTTGATAAGAGAGGGTCTAGATAGAACACTCCTGGATGAAACCTTAATTAAGTACAAATATCCTTTGTCTTTTTTTACTCTTTCTGTGAATTCCTCTCTTAGACTGTCTATACCCCAGAATCCTCATCAGACATGAATTCACCAGCAGCAGATTCCCCTCAAGTAATAGAGTCCATCCTGCATCCTGTGTCCCTTCCAGGAACTCCAGGAGTTGCCCCTGATGCCCCCATCACACCTACACCAGATCAGGTAAAAGGAACTTCAGCCTAGTGGTTATGTTGGAAGGTATTTTGTCTGAATTTTTCTGTAATTAGTGATCCACTCCGTTCTTCACTTTTAATTGGGATTGCCATGCAGATGAACAACATTAGTTCTTTCCAGGTAGTGAGTTCTAGAGTTGCTTCTAGAGATACACAAAACAGAGATCCTGTTTGCCTCAATCTGTTGAGACATGAAATAGCCACACAGGCTGTTGAAAATCTGGCTGATCTAGAACTTCGATTAAATTCTCAGAGTGAGAAGTTCCCCGTTTTCTTCTACCTCTGAAATCAGTGTTCTTTCTGAACACTGTCAGTGCAAAAACCAGTCAGTACATTAGTGCTTGCTTAATCTGCAGCGGAGAGGCAAAACAATGCTAGGATGGTAATTGAGCACTCTTAATATCAATTTTATTACCTCTTGAGTGGGGCTCAAATTGAAACAGTGCCTTGTCTAAGGCCATTTAGATAAGGTCACACAGGTTATCACATTTAAAGTGATGACCTCCTGACACACTCTTATAGCCCCGATACTGTACAGTTTGCTGTGACATGCCACCTCATCAGAAGGTTTTTTCCCCCCGTCTGAGAGTGCAGGGCTACTTTTGGTGGGGCTCCATGCCGGCAGCATGCCGGCAGTGCATTAAGAAGGAGACAGCACAGGAGGAAGCCAGGGACAGTGGGAAAACTTTGTGAGGTGGCAGCCCAAAACCAACTATGGCTAGGGAACAAAGCTGGCTTTCCCATGGTAGTTTCCCCCGCTGTCCCCAGTCTTCTGGACCTCCATGTGATGAGGTCCATAAAGTTTGAACCAGATCAGAGAAAACTGGATTTAAATTTCTACTTAGTGACAAAACTCTTTTGGTCAAATTTCCAGTTGCCCATTCAACCATGTAGATTAAACTTGTTTCAATCCATTTTATGTATTGCATATGATTTGACTCCAAATGCAGCAGTTCTTCCAAAATGGAGGAACTCAACAAGGCACTTGAATCATAGGATCAGGAGGCAAGGCATATTTCAAATCATACTGCTAATTTGGAAGTCCATAAGATGAAGGGGAATCCCAGGAGGCCCCAATCAGCCAAAAGACTGTAACAAAAAATACAGGGTTAGTCAAAATGAATAGGCCAATAAGAAAATTAATTTTAGACGAATGTATGTTTACTGTAACCAAACCACAGCTACGTAGCGACAGATAAACTATCAAAGTTTTTTTTGAGCAACACACATGTACGTTAATGCTGCTAGGCGTCGCTGTTTTCAAAATGGCGGAATCAAGCAAAGAGAAGGCGTTTTGTGTGATGACATTTGCTAAAACAATGTCAGTAATTACGGTCCAGCGAGAATTTCAAGGGTTAGGGTTAGGGTTAGGGTTAGGGATAGGGATAGGGATAGGGTTAGGGTTAGGGTTAGGGTTAGGGTTAGGGATAGGGATAGGGTTAGGGTTAGGGTTAGGGTTAGGGTTAGGGTTAGGGTTAGGGATAGGGTTAGGGTTAGGGTTAGGGTTAGGGTTAGGACCTCAACGAACACCTTCCCAGACGTTGCTGCATTCGATGCCATTACTTCGGATGTGCTGCAACGGATGTGGAATGAACTGGACTATCGCTTGGACATCTGGTTAGGGTTAGGGTTAGGGTTAGGGTTAGGTTCCCAGACGTTGCTGCATTCGATGCCATTACGTCGGATGTGCTGCAACGGATGTGGAATGAACTGGACTATCGCTTGGACATCTGCCGTGTCACACGGGGCGCCCATATCGAACATCTCTGAAGGTGAGACAAAACTTTGATAGTTTATCTGTCGCTACGTAGCTGTAGTTTGGTTACAATAAACATACATTCGTCTAAAATTAATTTTCTTATTGGCCTATTCATTTTGACTAACCCTGTACATTAGCAAGCATGTGCTTTACTTTCTGTAAGATTTTAGTGATTAAGATCCCCAGACCACAAGTTAAAGAATAATACATAGTAAAATAGGGACAGAGGCCTGTCTGAAATCCTGGGAAAAAGTAGATTATACTGAGCTAAATGAACTGGCGGTCTCACAGTAACTGACATTAGATACCTTTCTTTGGTACTTGGAAGCCCACCTGCCTGTATTCTTTCAGATTGGGAAACTACGCAGTGAGCTAGAAGTAGTGAATGGAAATGTGAAAGTGATGTCTGAAATGCTAACTGAGCTCGTGCCAGGAAAAGCTGAAACCTCTGATTTTGAGCTGCTCCAGGTAAGAAGTGGCTGGAAGGAAAGACTTCTGTTTGTCCCATGAACAGGAACATAATTTGGTTCAGCCCAGAAACAACAGAGTTGGACTTAGTTTCCCATGGGACTGGATTTTTAGTTCCAGCTGCTTATTAGTTGTCATTTCTTAACAGTTTCTGTAGTCTGGGTCTCACAATGTACATTCTCTTGCCATGGGCAGGAACTGAACCGGACGTGTAAAGCGATGCAGCAGCGTGTGTTGGAACTGATTCCCCGCATCCTCAATGAACAGCTAACAGAGGAGCTGCTCATTGTCAATGACAATCTCAACAACATTTTCATACGTCATGAACGGTATTCCTAAGTCCCGTCCCCCTTCCCCTACTTTTTCCCTCTCTCTCTCCCAAGCAGAGCAGCTCACCACATTCCTCTGAAGTTCATCTCTCTCTTTCTTATAGGTTCGAACGACTTCATACCGGACAGTCTGCTAAAGTAAGTTGAGGATTTAACACAGTTTGGTGGTTGTTATTCATTAGCAGAATTTGGTCAAATGCTGCAAGAAACACTTTTGGACTATGAGTGTGATAGATCCATATATCTGAGATTGAGCTTGACAACGGTAATTCCATAACATGAGGGAAGAGGAAGATGCAATCTGTAAGCTACCTTTATGCACTCACATCTCATGTTTGTAGTCCCCGAAGCCTTTCACCAATCCCCCAATTTTGTTGGGGGGGGGGTGCGGTTTTGTGGCCAGAATAAGTCAGCTCTTCCCCATCTATCCAGAATACTAATTGGAGCCCTCGGTGGTGCAATGGATTAAACGCTTGTGCCAGTTGAACTGGTCGACCAAAAGGTTGGCAGAATCCAGGAAGCGGGGTAAGCTTCCATATGTTGAGTTCCAGCTCTCCATGTGGGGACATGAGAAAAGCCCCACACAGGATGGTAAAATATCAAACATCTGGGCGTCCCCTGTGCAAAGTCCTTGCAGACTGCCAATTCTCTCACACCAGAAGTGACTTACAGTTTCTCAAGTCACTCCTGACACACACACACACACACACACACAAATGGAGGGGTAAATATAATTTTCAGCCATCTCCCAGTTAAAATAGTAATAGTAAAATAGCAACATCATTTTGAGTCACCATTAGGCCAGGAAATGGCTGACAAAAACAAAATCGCTCTGGGCACCATTGGGGACGTGCAGGCCATAAAAAGAATTAGTTAGTTGGGAAGTTGGATTCATGCTCAGTTCCCTACCTAATGGATGTGAGATTGAGTTTATTTGTCAGGATGAGTCATGTACCTTTGATCCATTTTTATATAATGGGGATGTCTTAACTTCAGATCCACTACATCCAAAAATGGCTGTTGATCTCGGGACAAACCTAACTCTTCTGGCTTCTCAGACTGTATATCTTTGGCTAAGCTAGTGATATTATATGTATGATATATTACATGCATTATATGATATGTATTTAATAGGCCTGTGCGGTTTCGTTCGTTAATTTCGTTATTCGTTAAACATTCGTTATTTTTGGCATTTACGAGGCGATATCAAAACACTTTTTCAAACCCGGAAGGGTTTTAAAATATTGAAGCGGCATCCCCCATCCTTTTAACGAGCTTCCGCCCGTTTCGGAAATTGGATGGAGGATGCTGGTGCCTGGGAGCCAATCCGGCGCTCCCAAGCACCCAAGCAGTGCACCGTGGCTGATTTTGATTGGCCGGGAAGGCCTTTAAAAGCGGCTCCGCGTGGCCGCAGAGCTCATTTGCGCGGAGGCGAGGGAGGAGAGAGGTCCGGGAGGGCTGCTGCTTTGGGTTGGCTTGGGCAGGAAAAAGACTTGCATTGGGTTGGCTTGGTTGAAAAGAGTAGACTCTTCTGTTGGTGTGTGCTTTTGGCTGTCTTTTGGCTGTGTGTCTCCTTCCTGTGTTAGCTTTTATTCTTTAAAATTCTTTAAAATTTTATTCTTCTGCCTTTTATTCTTAAAAAAATACAAAAAATATTCCAAAAAAAGAGAAGACTCTTCTGTTGGTGTTTGCTCTCGTTTGTCCTGTCTCGTGGCTGTGTTAGCTCTACATCAGGGCCAGTTTTTGGTTAATTTTCCATTTTTGAATATTTTTAAAAAATACCTGTCTTTTATTCTTTAAAAAAATACAAAAAATATTCTAAAAAAAGAAAAGACTCTTCTGTTGGTGTGTGCTCTCGTTTGCCCTGTCTCGTGGCTGTGTTAGCTGTACATCAGGGCCAGTTTTTGGTTAATTTTCCATTTTTGAATATTTTTAAAAAATACCTGTCTTTTATTCTTTAAAAAAATACAAAAAATATTCTAAAAAAGAAAATACTCTTCTGTTGGTGTGTGCTCTCACTTGCCCTGTCTCGTGGCTGTGTTAGCTGTTCATCAGGGCCAGTTTTTGGTTAATTTTCCATTTTTGAATATTTTTAAAAAATACCTGTCTTTTATTCTTTAAAAAAATACAAAAAATATTCTAAAAAAAGAAAATACTCTTCTGTTGGTGTGTGCTCTCACTTGCCCTGTCTCGTGGCTGTGTTAGCTGTTCATCAGGGCCAGTTTTTGGTTAATTTTCCATTTTTGAATATTTTCTAAAAATACCTGCCTTTTATTGTTAAAAAAACCCAAAAATATTCCAAAAAAAGAAAATACTCTTCTGTTGGTGTGTGCTCTCACTTGCCCTGTCTCGTGGCTGTGTTTGGTCCACATCAGGGCCAGTTTTTGGTTAATTTTCCATTTTTGAATATTTTCTAAAAATACCTGCCTTTTATTGTTAAAAAAACCCCAAAATATTCCAAAAAAAGAAAAGACTCTTCTGTTGGTGTGTGCTTTCATTTGTCCTGTCTCGTGGCTGTGTTTGGTCCACATCAGGGCCAGTTTTTGGTTAATTTTCCATTTCTGAATATTTTCTAAAAATACCTGCCTTTTATTCTTAAAAAATACAAAAAAATATTCTAAAAAAGAAAAGACTCTTCTGTTGGTGTGTGCTCTCATTTGCCCTGTCTCGTGGCTGTGTTTGGTCCACATCAGGGCCAGTTTTTGGTTAAGTTTCCATTTCTGAATATTTTCTAAAAATACCTGCCTTTTATTCTTAAAAAATACAAAAAATATTCTAAAAAAAAGACTCTTCTGTTGGTGTGTGCTCTCATTTGCCCTGTCTCGTGGCTGTGTTTGGTCCACATCAGGGCCAGTTTTTGGTTAATTTTCCATTTTTGAATATTTTTAAAAAATACCTGTCTTTTATTCTTAAAAAAATACAAAAAATATTCTAAAAAAAGAAAAGACTCTTCTGTTGGTGTGTGCTCTCGTTTGCCCTGTCTCGTGGCTGTGTTTGGTCCACATCAGGGCCAGTTTTTGGTTAATTTCCATTTCTGAATATTTTCTAAAAATACCTGCCTTTTATTCTTAAAAAATACAAAAAATATTCTAAAAAAGAAAAGACTCTTCTGTTAGTGTGTGCTCTCGTTTGTCCTGTCTCGTGGCTGTGTTTGGTCCACATCAGGGCCAGTTTTTGGTTAATTTTCCATTTTTGAATATTTTTTAAAAATACCTGTCTTTTATTCTTAAAAAAATACAAAAAATATTCTAAAAAAGAAAATACTCTTCTGTTGGTGTGTGCTCTCATTTGCCCTGTCTCGTGGCTGTGTTTGGTCCACATCAGGGCCAGTTTTTGGTTAATTTTCCATTTTTGAATATTTTCTAAAAATACCTGCCTTTTATTCTTAAAAAAATACAAAAAATATTCTAAAAAAGAAAAGACTCTTCTGTTGGTGTGTGCTCTCGTTTGTCCTGTCTCGTGGCTGTGTTTGGTCCACATCAGGGCCAGTTTTGGGTTAATTTTCCATTTTTGAATATTTTCTAAAAATACCTGTCTTTTATTCTTAAAAAAATACAAAAAATATTCTAAAAACGAAAAGACTCTTCTGTTGCTGTGTGCTCTCGTTTGCCCTGTCTCGTGGCTGTGTTTGGTCCACATCAGGGCCAGTTTTTGGTTAAGTTTCCATTTTTGAATATTTTCTAAAAATACCTGCCTTTTATTCTTAAAAAATACAAAAAATATTCTAAAAAAGAAAAGACTCTTCTGTTGGTGTGTGCTCTCACTTGCCCTGTCTCGTGGCTGTGTTAGCTGTTCATCAGGGCCAGTTTTGGGTTAATTTTCCATTTTTGAATATTTTTTAAAAATACCTGCCTTTTATTCTTAAAAAAATACAAAAAATATTCTAAAAAAGAAAAGACTCTTCTGTTGGTGTGTGCTCTCGTTTGTCCTGTCTCGTGGCTGTGTTTGGTCCACATCAGGGCCAGTTTTTGGTTAATTTTCCATTTCTGAATATTTTCTAAAAATACCTGCCTTTTATTCTTAAAAAATACAAAAAATATTCTAAAAAAGAAAAGACTCTTCTGTTGGTGTGTGCTCTCGTTTGTCCTGTCTCGTGGCTGTGTTTGGTCCACATCAGGGCCAGTTTTGGGTTAATTTTCCATTTTTGAATATTTTCTAAAAATACCTGCCTTTTATTCTTAAAAAAATACAAAAAAATATTCTAAAAAAGAAAAGACTCTTCTGTTGGTGTGTGCTCTCGTTTGCCCTGTCTCGTGGCTGTGTTTGGTCCACATCAGGGCCAGTTTTGGGTTAATTTTCCATTTTTGAATATTTTCTAAAAATACCTGTCTTTTATTCTTAAAAAAATACAAAATATTCGCTTTAACGAATCGATTCGTTATTATCTCAATATCGAATCGAATCGTATTTAGTAACGATGTTTGGAAGCCGCTTTTGCGCATGCGCGATCGCGTCCGCCATTTTAACGAATCGATTCGTTATAACCTTAACGAATCGACCTCCGCGCCAATAACGAAGATTCGGAAGTGATTCTGCGCATGCGCAGGGGTCCGCCATCTTTACAAAATGTTTTGTAAATATTTACGAAATTTCGTAAATACCGAAACTTTTTTTGGGAAAGTTTTGTAATTATTTTAAATATCGAAACAAAAAAACACCCCAATTACAAATCGATTTTAGAAACAATTTTTTTCTTGATCAACCAGGCCTAGTATTTAAAACTAGTGATGTTATGTTTATGAATTTTAAGCAAAATTAATGATATTATATGTATTAATGTTAATCAGATGTAATCGTTGTCATTCTGTGTTGTTGAAGTCAAGCTGAATGCTACAGGAAATAGTGTGTTGGAACCCGGTTGACTTTATACTGTGGGGTATCTGTAGAATACTAAGGGGTTACATTCCCCCCCCCCCCCCCCCCCCCCCCCCCCCCCGCACTCCTGGAAACCTAGGAAGGCTACAACCCCTCACTTCACTTTTCACTTTTTTTTTAGAAAAAGGGTGTCTCTTGAGAAGGCCCCAAATATGATGGAAATGCACCCTAGAAGGCATTTTGGGGTTAAAGGAGTTTTTTAAAAAAAGGTTTGCAAAAAATCATTTTTGATTACAAGATGGGAGGCCTGGAGATCTCCAAATGTGATAGAATTACAGTCCACACTCCCTTGTAATCACAGTCACTTTGGAGAAAGATCAATACTCCAGGGCCACAATTTGCCTATCCCTGATATAGTTGGGCTTTGCTTTAAGCTTGCACGTCCTACTGATTTTAACGTTGCTGCAGGCAAAGCTGCTCCTTCTCTTCCTATTATGCTCTTAGATGGTGAGTTAAAATGTTAATAAAATGTTAATAAAATTAATGGTACTTGCCTAAATAGCCAAGTGTAGTTGCAGTGTCTGGCATGTAGTGGCCTTTACTGCTATACTGCATATTTTCTAGGCATCTGAGTAATAGGTAATGCTTTACAGTTTCCAAAGTATTAAACTATCAGACTGAAGCATGCTTGGGCAGAAATGCTACAATCATTGACAACAGCAAATAAATGTTCTCTTTAAAGCAGGAAAACACTGCAGAAAATGCCAGCAATTTAATTGACATGGGACCTAGTGCTACACCAGCAGAAAAAGAGCCAGAAGCCACCAACACACTCTCATCTCAGCTTGCAGGAATGAGTGAGTAACCTGACAGTAGCCCTGTGATGTGCGTTTCTTTGTCTCTCTAACCCCATAATTATCTGGTCACCAGCCTCTGTGACTCCAGTCTCTGTATCTTTCATTCTTCCATTCCCTTGCTTTAAGAAGTGTGAAATTCTGAAACATAAAATAAAAGTATTAATCCTGTAAAACTAAAATATACATGTTAATTGTTGAATATTATTACCTATTGATTGCAATGTAAATTGTGTTGCTGTCTGTGTCTATCTATGTGTACCTTTGTTTTGGCATAGCTGTTCATATCAGTATGCTCACCTAAGGTGAGTTAAATCTGGTTAGCAAACTTTCAGAACAGTCTCTTGCTGTATCATGGTATCTTATCTTAATGTATATGGGCTGGAAGAGAAATTTGGCACTTATTTATTGTGTATGTCAAGAAAGAATTTTACTTTTGAACTCCTTTAAATAAACCCCTGAGAATGACAGAACATTAATTTAAATATTCTTCGGTATGTGTATTATAATGTCTGTAAACAAGCAATATGTTCTAATCCAAAATGTCCTGTTTTGTTTGTTGCAACCATTGTATTTCATGCACTCTTTTTGATATAGTTTATTTTAATGTGTTAGGTATCACCTTGCTTCTGTCTCTTTATGTCTTGCAGATCTGGGTTCAGGTAGTGTCAGTGCTGGTCTGCAGACACTTAACAATGCTGGCAAATTAGAGGAAGAGTTTGACATGTTTGCACTAACCCGTGGCAGCTCTTTAGCTGAGCAGCGCAAAGAGTGAGTGACAGCACCTTATTTAATTATTTACCTAAAATGATTTATGTTGCAGGATAAATTGGTAATTGTAAGAGGAAAAATACGAAAAATATTGCTATCATACTATCATAAAATATTCAGCTTTTTTGTAGTACAGACTTTGGTTTGTATCGCTACAGATTCACATCAGTAAGACTGATTCTTTTAAATGCAAGCTATATATTTAATTTACATAGTAGCACATTTGTGTATGTGCCTTCATGTTACTTATCGACTTCCATAGGCTTTTCTTAGGGAAAAAAGGTGGTTTGTGATGTAGCAGGTTGAATGTTGGACTATGACTGTGGAGATCAAGATTTGAATCCCTGCTCATCCATAGAAACCCACTTAGTCACCTTCGAAAAAACACATTCTCTCAGCCTCAAAGGAAGGCAAAGGCATGTGCCCTCTGAACAACTCTTGCCAATAAAACCATGTGATAGGTTTATTTTAGGGTTGTACACAATAACAATAATAGTAACACATACATGTAACAAGATTCGCTGCCCTTTATGTCGTTTCATGTTATTTAGGCAAGTTGCTAATCTCTAATACAGTATCTAGTTTATCACAAGCAAAGAAAAATGAAAAACTAAACATTGACATCAGGTGTATTTATAGGATGGAGACAGTTTCTGAGAGATTGGGATTGGTTCAAGTAAGTCAGGGCTGTCTGTCATGCTGCCAGTGAAGCAGAAACTCCTAAACAAGTGGGTGCCAGTCCAGGTTCTTTGATTTAACTCTATGTGGTTTCTTCTTCCAAGAAAGGTAGAACATTTTCATTTAGACAAAAATTAGCAGGCTTTACCTTTACAGCAACTAAAAGTTTTTTCTAGATGTAACAGTACAGAGACTTCTTGATAGTCAAATGTTTTTTGCATGAGAAAGGAGCCAGTCACATCCACAGGACAAAGTCAGCTTGGATTTCAATGGAACCTACATTTCTGTTGCTAACAGGATTGAAATTTGATTACTTTTAGAGCTCTTTGTTTCCCAGTTCTTACATGGCCAAAAAATGAGATTCCCTCAGCCTTCATTGATGTCCCTCTACCTTTTTAACTAACTATAGAAGTAATATCTTAAGACAAAATGTAGGCCTCTAGTTCTAACATCATCATTGTTTTTCTTCTGCATGATTTGAACTCATTAATAATAAACTTGATTTGTATTCCACCCTATCTCCCCAAGGGGACTCATTTGCCTGATGAAGAAGCCAGTGGATGTTTAAAAGCTTGTATGATGTATTTTGTGCTTTTTTAGTTGGCCTAGTAAAGGTATTGTGTTGTGGACTTTTGATTTTGTTGTATTTTGCTTCAAGACCAACCCAGCTACCCTGAACATGTTTCCTAGAGATCAGTGCTTTCCATTCCCAGTGTACTTCTATTAGAAACATTTTTTTCCAGATTGCTTTGATTCAGTCTGCCTGTTTCCAGTTTGTCTGGGTAGGGAAAAGCCCACATGTGGATCATTGTTCTTCTGCTGCCTCTTATTCGCCTCTTCACAGTAGATTAAAGTGCAGCAGCTGTCCAGGGCACTTTTGAGGTCATCGTTTGGGGTCATCTTTGGTGATGGAATTTTAGACTTCAGGAGCAGACAGCCTGTTCCCAAACCACAAAAATACTCTGAGTTTTTTAAAAAGAAGTTATGGTGTTTTATTGTTTGGTCCACATGCATGGAACACACGTCACTCAGACACATTTTTGGTAGCGCTGAGCCTTCATTGGCATATACTTTCTCCTTTGCTACATGTTTTCCTTGGTTTGTTCTCATTCTCCAGGAATTGTAGCAGCCGTGGGGTGGATAATTTATTTTTTAATAGCATGACCCAAATGGAGTGCAGAGTTGTGTGTCGGTGCCCCAGAGAATGCTCAGAAGTGTAAACGTAGCCCCATGCAAAATAATGCTCAGCTACACATCTGTTCATATTAGTAATTTGAAAACAGGGGTGCATCATTCATGCCATATCTAGAGAATGTTTACTTGTGGATTTCAATTATTGTGGCATTTCTGCCCAAGCCTGCTTCTGTCTGAGTTTAATACTTTGGAAAATGTAAAACATAACCTATCATAGTGTTTCACCATACCATGCTTGAATGGAATTTTCAAAGTTTTTGAAGCGTGCTGTTTTCTTTTAAAACAAATCTAATAAATACTAGTAGTTTGTATGTGTCTTTGGATATAGCCCTTTATTTTTGACTGGGAATGATTTTTTTTTACCTCAAGAGGGAACTTGCTTTGCCTTGCAGTATCCAGAGTTATTTACTCCTTGAGTCATATGCCTTGTTTACACCTGCTATATGAGTTACAGTAACATTAGATGTTGTAAGAGTTGCTAGACAGGTTAAGAGCCCAAGCTGTGGGCCTTGGTATAAGGTTGGGCCAAAAGTTTGGAAAGCCAAAACCATTCCCACTCCCTTCCTATTGCACTTTGCTGCCACCAGATGTGTTCCACTGTAACGACAGCTGTTTTTAATTAGTTTTTACAATAATATTTATATCCCACATTTAAGCACAGGATTTTGCAGTAACATGCAGTAAAATCAACCTGACCTATGTAAAATATTCCTCCAGTGACCTTAGAAACCTCTCCCCATCATGATGTAACATTATACAGAAAATCCTGTCTAAGGAAAAGTAGTGATTAGGGCAGGCATGGGCAAACTTCGGCTCAAGTGGGCATTTCTCATGCTGCCTAAATGTCATCCCTTCCCTTATTTTACATGTCCTCATACTCAAAAAAAAAACCCCCACATACATTCCTTTTTTAAATAGAGCAGGTCAAAGGAGAAGCCATTCCAGCTCATTCTATTTGCATTGCCCTGTATGCTTATCTTTGTTCCCTGTGTTTTGATGTATGTATTTTGTTGTATTTATTTTATGTTGTTATGTTCTGAGTGTTGTACCCTACCTCAAGCCATTAGGGGAGGCAAGTAACAATGAAATTTTTATTATTATTACTATTATTCTACCAGGACATTATGATTCTAAAGCTGAAATATAAGGATAATTAAAAAGTATTCACCTAGCTTGCAAAATGTCTGTTTAAAAAATTACTAAGGGAAATTTGGAAAAGAAATGCTAAATTCTGTCAGGCTGCAGATATTTTGTCTTGGCCTTCTACTTGGTTAAATTTCTGTTTCCTCTCGGCTCTGTGATCTGACTTTTGATGCTAGAAACAGATGTTTGTTCTTGGCCATGTGTAGTTACGCTTGAGCACAAAACTCATACACATGCGCACACAAACACTTAGCAGACTAGGCTAGGTGCCAGCATGCTTCTAGATGCCTTTGGCACCCTTCTCATCGCTGCTGAAGGCTTTATAATGCTGGACTCAGAGACTGTTTTCTCAAAGAGCTAACTGATTCACTATCTGAAAGGAATCCGGATGCTGTGTGGCTTCTAGAAGGAGGCTCTCTTTGCTGTGAACCTGGATATGGAATAGAGTAGAAGTATAGTCAGAAGCTGCTGATGTTGTGCTGAAACTCAACCTCCGGACATACATTTTGGTCATTCTCTCCCACCCTGGAGAACTACAGAGGATCCGGACAGCGTTCTTCTTCAGCACAACTTGATCCTCCTCTGACCGAGGTGGGAGGAGAGTGATCTTTCCACTAAAGAAGCACCTTCTATTTATTCTTCGTTCTCTCACTGGAGTAGCTGCCTAGCACTTCAGTGTTTTTGCCAGCTTGGGACTCTCTGTTCTATTGCTCTCTCACACATTGGCTGACCTTTTTTCCTGAGGCTTTGCTGCTTGATAGAGATTCCCTCCCCTTTGTGGGTAACTACAGGACCTGGACTTCTGTCTTCCCCAGAACCTCATGAACATCTGTGCGTGGAATTTCTGGCAACAGCTTAAACCGTTCCTGCCATTCTGCCTCATCAGCGGCATGGTGGTAGCACTCTTCTTCGTCATTGATGCCATCGTGCACAGCGGACCCTTCACTGACGAGCACTTCTTTGAAAAATTTGAACAGAGGTGGCCTAATCCCTTGGCTCTGAAAGGGAACAATTCTCAATGACCATGGGAGGGGCAGAAACATGGCCTGGGGCATCTCACTGCTGGCACATCTTCACCCCATGGAAGTTTGCCATATCTGTGTAAGACATTATCTGCATCAATGAGAGGTTGAGGGCAGAGGGTGTGGCAGTATTCAGTCTAAACTGAGGCATGGAGCCATTGGGTCTCTAGCACATGAAGTTGTTTCTCTGAGAATCTATTTGAATGCCATAGTATTTTTGCATTTGTGCATGCCTTGGTTGATCAGGAACAGTTCACAGGCCTACAGCATTGGGGGGTCTTAATTTTTTAAAACAAAACTTCTGGTTTTTTAGGAATTTGGCTCTTTAAATCCCAAATTGTCCTCTGATTTGCTCCACCACAAACAATTATTTCATATATTGTATTGACGTTTCTATGTTGCAAAATATGGCTGACTAAAATTAGCATTTGAATTGGTGATGAGATTTTTGAAAGAACTGTGTGTGACATAATACATAGCTTTATTTTGTTTTCTGATGTTCAGCACTCAAAAGAACAACCACAATATTGGAAATGGTTTATCATTGCAGGGCTGTGTTATCTGTGCCCAAGAACAACTGCAACTCATATACCGTAATAAGCATCTCCTGAGACAAAGAACCTCCCTGAGTCCCCTTAGGGAAATAGGGCGGGTTATAATTTTTTATTATTATTATTATTATTATTATTATTATTATTCTGAGACAAAAACACATTATTATTATTATTATTATTATTATTATTATTATTATTATTATTATTATAGAAATGTGAATTAGCATTATGTGCTTACATAGAATAGAACAAAGGTAAATGCAAAGCTATCTGTATGACATAGTTCTGCTGCAGCATAGATGTAATATGGAATTTAGGTGTGTAAGAATCACAGCTTTCATTTTAAGAGAAGTTTCTAGTGCTGCTTACAAAATAAAGTTAAACAGTTGTGCAGTGCTTCCAGAAAATCACATTTTCCTATTCTCGGTTTGGTATTATTATCAATTTATTCATATATTGATTAACATATTCCCATAAAAACAACAATATTTATGATTATGGCTTCAGAGGGGATGCAGATTGCTGCAGTCTTCAACAGACTCTCAGCTCAGATGTGTCTTCTTTTTCAGAGTAAAGTATGAAGACCCTCTAGCCACAAAAGGACTAGCTGGAGCCTTGGATGCCAGGCAGCAGAATACAGGAGCGGTGAGTAGTAATCTGTAAAGATTTTCCATGATATCCAACTATAACAAACTACCTCAATTCCATATAAATCAGCCTTCATCACCTTTTTAGCCTCCACTTGAATTAGAATTGCATTACCTGCAGGGAGCAATTGGAAAAGGCTGATATCGAACAGCCAATTCATCAGAATTGGTTTAGGTATCAATAAATTGCCCTCCTGTATTTTAACATTTATTTCATATCTAAACTGAAGCTTTCAAGTATCCCTAGTGTTTCACCTCCATAGAGACATGTCTATCTACCTCGCCATGGTGCAAAGAGATGAATGACTTGGATGCAACCGTTTGTACTTGGGATATTAATGGCATATGCTCCCTTTTCACTAATTGTTCCTAAAGCAGTCAGCAACAGCACAAAATATATAATTCAGGCAAAGGCAGTAAAAATGATAAATTATGCCTGTTTCAGACAGTTCATTCTTAAATATATATAAGGAGAAAGACAAGAACCTTTGAAACTATTCTCAGCAAGTATGAAAATATAGGTTAGTAATAACACAGGGTGGATCCATCCAGAGACTATAGATTATTATGTTTCATTGATAGATCTATCATCAGCTTGAAGCTGGTCTGTCTTTATGATGCCACAGTCATCAGATTGCATTTGTAGAAGAAGTCTGGTCTCCTTTTTAGGTGCATAAACAGAGAGGTTGCTTGCCTGCCCTCCCGCCCTGCCCCACACTTTCCCACTTTTCAAAGCAAGTTTTTTCTTAACTAGCTGGAGCCAGGTGCATCCACCGATGAAGCCCCCATTTCAAACTGGATGATGCGCCAAGGAATGGTGAGAATGTGTCTCTGCTGGAAAGTCAAGATTAGAGGCTGCTACGCAAGGGTGTGGAGCTGATGGAACAGTGTATGGGGACAAACACCGACTAGGCTGGAAACCAGGGAAAACATTCCAGTAAGATACCTGGATGTGGGAAATGTTAGTAACAGTGAAAGCAAACAAGAAAATACATGTCAGACTTTCATCCTTCTCAACTTATTGTAGGGTTGTACAGTTATCGGCCCTCTAGATGTTGCTGAATATCCACAGTGAAGATGGCCACAGGGATGTCATAGAACAGGAGTGTCGTACTCATTTTCATCAAGGGCCACATCAGCCATATGGTTGTCTTCAGTGGGCCATTGAATCCATGGATACAGAGGGCAATTACAATTTTTTGACATTGTAGTCAATACTTTTTAGTTTCTACCCAGTTTGGGCACACAGGTGTTACTGAATGGCAGCTTTCATCGTGTTTCGTTATCCACTTTGTGGACTGGGAACAATGGGAATCACAGTGCATCAGCACTAGTGGCTCTGAGGTTGGGGAAAGGTTAAAGGCAATTTTTAAGTTACACACAATAAACCCCACTATCTTGAGTAAACAGAAGAAACTGCAGCCTTTCAGATGTTACTGTATCACAACTCCCATCAGTTCTAGTCACAATGTCTAATGATGAGGAATACAGGAGCTGTAGTCCAGTATCTGGAAGGTCACATAAAATGACATGACTGACTGGATTCAGTCCACAGGTCTTGAGTTTGACACGTGTTGTAGGAGATGCTGTCCAGCAACATTAGCAGGAGCAGGAGCCCCCAGTGGTGCAATGGGTTAAACCCTTGTGCCAGCAGTACTGCTGACCAAAAGGTCGGCAGTTCAAATCCGGGGAGTGGGGTGAGCGCCCATCTGTCAACTCCAGCTTCTCATGCAGGGACATGAGAGAAGCCTCCCAAAGGATGGCAACACATCCAGGCATCCCCAGGGCAACGTCCTTGCAAATGGGCAATTCTCTCACACCAGAAGCGACTTGCAGTTTCTCAAGTTGCTCCTGAACAAAGGGAAAAAGTGGGAGCAAAGTATGATCATCCTTGCTTTACCTTAATATGACAAAAATTGTAGTCACTGAATAGAGCATATACTTGCTGCTTTACATAAACTAGAATCACACACTATCTAGGGACTGCAGAGGTAACACTGGTATACACTAGATTGTATAGCTGTTTTCCAAACAAGGAAGATCACCAGTGGCGTAAAGGAGGGTCAGTAAGTGGCTTTCTCTTTTTGTGTCCCAATAAAGGATTTCTTAAATGTCACATATTTTCCTATATTGTGGTTTTCTAAACATGATCTCCTAATTGTATGTCCTCTGTGAAGACTGTCCCCACAATTATTTATAAATGCCAGGCATGGATTGAATGTATCCTAGCAACATCAATAGCATTAGGCTGCCTGTCATTCTAAAGTTCTCAGTCCAAATTGTACGACACCTAAACAAATATACCAATTGAGATGCCTTGTCAAATGTGTCCCCATGCATTGTTCCAGCTTTCTTGTATAAATAAGCATCTCTCTCTTCTGTTCAAGAAAGCTCCGAGGATAAAGGAGATTTTGGCATAATCCTAAATTATGCCTCTTCTCCATAAGTCCCTCTCCAGTTTATAGTAATATGTCTGATGAGGAAAGAGTGAGAAGAGCTTTACCTTGACAGAGGAAAGAGATTGATTTAGGAATAGCTCTGGATATTAGCTTTAAACAATCTTTTCTTGGGCAAGAAGAAAACTATCGCTTTGGGTTGCTCTCTTCCTTTTCATCACTTTGGCAGCAGAGGATCCACAAATTTAACTGCACTAAATATCAGGAACCGATTTGCATTTACTTCTTTTTAAGGTCACTTGTGGGAGCAATTGATGGTCTTTCTTTGTTTACTTTATTGTTGATGTTTTCTATTGCATTCAGAAATCTGGATTTGGGCCAGCTGCTTTTGCTTTATACCAGGGGTTTGGGAGAGATTTCTTCTCTACTATTCAGTTGTGTTGTGAAAGGAAAAGCTCTCATGTTTGAACATTCTTGGTATGGAGACAATGTTCATTTTTTCATACTCAAGTGCTTGATTTGGCACAGGGACCAGTTTTAGAAGGGTCAGAAGTGAGAGTTTCTTCACCTTATGTCTACCTCTTTTTCATGTTTTTGGTATTACAGTGCATCATCCCATCTGTTTCAGTCTAAAACTTAATTTCACAGGTCTTAGTCGTTGCCTAAAACATCAGTGTGTGCCTGTATAGGTTAATTTCCTATGCCAATGTACACAAATTGTTTTCCTGGATCTAGTCCAAGTCCATCTAGTCACAAACCAACAGTAGCAGTCAGTTCCCTCAAATAACACAAGCATCGGGAAGATAGGGCAGAATATAAATCATAGAATCAAAGAGTTGGAAGAGACCTCATGGGCCATCCAGTCCAACCCCCTGCCAAGAAGCAGGAAAATCACATTCAAAGCACCCCTGACAGATGGCCATCCCCTGCTTAAAAGCCTCCAGAGAAAGAGCCTCCACCACACTCTGGATCAGAGAGCTCCACTGCTGAACAGCTCTCATAGTCAGGAAGTTCTTCCTAATGTTCAGGTGGAATCTCCTTTCCTGTAGTTTGAAGCCATTGTTCTGCATCCTGGTCTCAAGGGAAGCAGAAAACAAGCTTGCTCCCTCCTAAAATAAAGTTTTTATTTATTATTTATATAGCAAAAATGTGATGGCCATTTGCTTCTGTTTGTCTTAAATATAGTCTCTCTTTTGTAAGTCTGTCTGAGCATCTGGATAGAGGCTGGCTGAAGATAGGTGGGCTATTTGGGTGCCTAGGATTATGCCAAAGTATGGGAGAACCTTCTGTGGTTGCTTCCATTTAAGTAAGTTAGACTATGCAGAACAAATCTTTCAGTCTAACAGCCCTCGGTTTGTCACAGACTATAGGATATTTTGCCAACTGAAGATGGAAACATAACAGTTTCTTTTCATTTCAGTGTGAAAGGGAGAGGTCAGAATAATCCTGGGCCTTTTCACCTTTTGTGAATTTCACTCAGAGTAAAAGTTACATGTAAAATAGCATGAAGGGCGAGAGCAAATGGGTGAAAAAGCCTTGAAAGGTCTCACATGTCAGCACCAGGGCAGTCCTGTTCGACTAATAATAGTGTGCCTACCGAAGAGAAAATATTAAACAACTTTAACGTCAGGAAGTCAAGGCAAACTTTTTCTTTGTCATTGGAATGTGGTTCAGTATGTGTAAATTCTGCTTTGTAAACAGTTAAGACATTTGCCTCCTCTCTATAGAGAAGAAAATTTGCAGAATATGACGTTGTGTCCTGAAGTGTTCAGAAACTTTAAATACACCCTCTCCCTCTCTTTGGACATCTCATTATTGACTATCTGAATTGACTGTTGACTATCTGAAATTTAGTACACCATGTTGCAAGCAGTTTGTTGCAATTTTCAAAAATGTTCTGCAAAAATGCACTTTTCCTTGCGCAAAATTTAACTGTGCTTATGACCTATATGATCCTTTCCCTTTTTTCCACATTGTCATATTTAAATCTAAAAAACCAATGGATGCACAAGCAATACCCAAAAAATTGCACTTGATTGCACTTGATTGATAACAATACTAAATATCCTGCCCTTGTGACATCATAAAAATTTAAAGGAATGTGGGGAAAAATTAAAGTCAGCCTTCTGGAAAGCAAGACCAAGCCAGAGACATAGAAATAACCATGATTAATTATTCTTAATTGGTGTTGCCATGCCTTATCAAAGTTACTTTTGATTAAAATTTCAAGAATACCTTAGCCATCTTCGCCACTGAATATGCTGGCTTTAGAGTTTTGGGAATTGTTTCCCCAAAATAGCATTGCCAAATTATGCTTTAGCAGGAGGCTATATTAGGGGCGGGTTCTGAAAGTTTTCTTGATTGAAAAACATGCCTTTTGAACTGGCTTTCAGTTCTATGGATGATAAAGAGAAAAGAGTACTTTTGGTCCATGATTCTCCTTGTTATTCTCTGCCTTGTTCCTTTTTCTTCCTTTGTCAGATTCCTGTCCCCCAAGCTACACATATGGAGGATATTGAGCAGTGGCTCTCCACTGATGTGGTAAGTAATAGAGTTGGATCACATACTTATTTCAATTAAGAATTCACTATGTACAGGCATTCTCCAAGTTACAAACAAGATATGTTCTGTAGGTTTGTTATGAGGTTGAATTTGTATGTAAGTCAGAACAGGTATTTTTTTAGGTGTAACTCCATCCAGCATATATATCCACACACACACATGTATTTTTAGATGTGAATCCATCCAGACACACACACACACACATACATATACATAAACACACACACACACACATACATACATACATACATACATACATATATAAACACGAAGAGAGAGAGAGATACATATATATGCTTTGGATAGCATAAGGAATTGTTATCTCTCCCCCCCCCCCCCCCCCCCCCCCCCGTGGTGTTTGTTTTGCTGTCTGTGCCCATTGAAAAGATTTCACCAAACTTTTTGTTCCTGTGATAAGATTTTGAAAAATTGGCTTGTTGTGGAAACAAAAATTGTGGATAACACTTCAGTTGAGACACCTTTTCCCCCATGGAAAATCTTTTAGGAGTGAATATCTCTTCCAAAGAGTAGATTTTTCTCACTTCCTGTTGTCTCATTCTTGTTCTTAGCTATGAGTCATTTGTAAATCAGATGTTTGTAACTCAGGGACTGCTTGTACATAGATATGTCCGGGGGGGGGGGGGTGGCAGGGGAGGAGCCATAGCTCAACAGTAGAGCACAAGTGTTTGCCCTGGTTCAGTCCCCAGAAATATGAGTCTAAGGAGGAGGGTGGAGCTACCTAGGTTTTACCATCCTTCTTAAAGCTTTTGGACCCGCATCTCCAAAGCTCCATCATTAAATTGGGATGGCTGACTCCAGTACCTTCAGTACCTTTTTGAAAAGCCCCCTGCCCACCAAATCCAACTCATCCTAAACCTGCCATAAACCTATAAATCACTTCCCGTTGTAATTTTTTTGACCAATTTTATTACCTAAAACAGTGTAGTGCAGCCTACTTCAAGCAGGACTATTACCCTCTGTACCTGCTCTCTGTACGCCATATTAAGCTATATGGATCAGTTATCTTCCTATGAGACAATCAGCTATATTTTAACACCCACGGTCCAATTAAAATGATCACCTAGCCATATCCCAACCCATTCCATCTTTGAAATTCTACCTTATTTCTATTGATATGGGCAATGAAGCTAAAACAAGTGAACTTATTGCAGATCCCTGACTTGATCTGATTGAATTTCTCTGTCTACACAATTTATTTGAAATTCCATGATTTTCATCCTTTTTTTGTGTTCTCTCCACTTAGGGAGATGAGGCAGTGGATCCAAAGGGTGTTACCAGTGAAGGTAAGTTACTTTCAAGTGAAGTTCCTTCTCTTAAGGGCTTCTCTCATTCTTATGAGAGGAGCCCTACATGCTCCTCCCTTACAAATATATCCTTTTCATTGTTATCTCTCCCAGATTTTATCATTTTCTGTCGTACATTTGGCCCGCCCACTGTGTTTGTTTTTTCTTTGTATTTTGCACTGTTTTATTTTATTTTTATTTTTTATTTATTTTATTGCAATGTTATTTTTGCCGTTTTGTATGCATTTTACTGTAATTGTATTAGAATCATAGAATCAAAGAGTTGGAAGAGACCTCATGGGCCATCCAGTCCAACCCCCTGCCAAGAAGCAGGAATATTGCATTCAAATCACCCCTGACAGATGGCCATCCAGCCTCTGCTTAAAAGCCTCCAAAGAAGGAGCCTCCACCACACTCCGGGGCAGAGAGTTCCACTGCTGAACGGCTCTCACAGTCAGGAAGTTCTTCCTCATGTTCAGATGGAATCTCCTCTCTTGTAGTTTGAAGCCATTGTTCTGCGTATTATCGGGCTTGGCCTCATATAAGCCACCCCAAGTCCCTTTGGAGAAATGGTGGTGGGGTATAAATAAAGATTATTATTATTATTATATTATTATTATTATTCATGTGGACATAAGATGTTCTCCATCTATCATGTCTGTAGATGTATGAAAACATCCTGTTTCAAGCCTGTTTCCTGCTGCTCCCAAGACTAAGACATGGAGCAATGGGTTCAAATGACAAGAAAAGAGATTCTCACCTAAACATTAGGAAAAACTTCTTAACTGTCAAAGCTGTTTGACACTTAAATATGCTGCTTCCTTGGAGTGTGGTTAAGTCTCCTGATCTGGAGGTTCAGGTCAGCTGTCAGAAGTCCTTTGATTGTTTATTCCTATATGGCAGAAGTTGGACTGGATGGCTTGAACTATAGAATTCATAAGTATCTAAAATTAATGTGAAACATGAATATGGCTGCCACAAAATAGGGAGTACTCTTCAGGATTCTTCTGATTTGATTCCTTCATTTTTCTTACAATTCTCTGCATGCTCTCTCTTTCCAGAGTTTGACAAGTTCCTGGAAGAGCGAGCAAAAGTGGCTGACCGGCTACCCACAGTTCCCAGTCCCTCCACTGGGGTTCCTCCACCTTCCACCAGTTCTGGGCCTCACCGGAAGAAGGACAAGGAAGAAGATGCCATGTTTGCTTTATGAGCCCTATTGAGGACTGGTGTGCTGTGGTTACAAGAGGACCTGTGTGCTGCACTACACTCCCCCTTCTTCGGTGGGAGCGGGAGAACCAGGAGGGGAGTGGGTAGGGGAAGGGACCCTTCCCTTCTTCCTTACTTCCTGCCTCCCTTTCTAGGCTGCTTTGGGGTTAGATTAATCATTACTGCATTGGGGGGACATGAGAGAAATGAGTCCTGGGAAGGGGTTGCAAAGCTGCCAAATGTGTTGCCAGATGAGTTGATGGATTTGGTGTTTCTCTTGTGTGGTTTAAGCAAACTGAATGTGTTCTCCGTTACTCCATTTTTTCCTTTCCCAATGAAAAGACTGTAAAAACCATGCTGAAAATTGGGAGTGGGATTTGTAATTTCTTACCAGTCTCACAAGTGGCTGCATTTGAATTTTAAACACTGTGTGTCCTCTGTACCACAGAATCTGGATAGTTTGCAGTGGCAAGAGAGTGCCCTTGGAAGTGAGGCAGCAACATCCATCTGGCCACTCCTACATCTCTTCCTGTTGTGTAAGCACTTCTTTGAAAATGCTGCCTGTTGGCCATGCAAGTAGCCAGTTCAGGTACCAGTCTTCTGGAGCATCAAAGAAAGGGGTGTTAGGCAGTACTTAATTTTTCCAAGGCCGGCTTTTTCCTTTTCTTCAGAGCTGGAACATCCCAAAGACAAGATCCTCTCTTTGAAAACAATTCATAGCATTCATTGATCATGACTTCTTTGTTCTCACCATAGTCTTTGCCCTTAGAGGTCTTTCTGGTCATTTCTCCTTTACCATGAGGGCTGAATTCTTTGTGTATTATCAGAGAATACCTGTGGATTTCCTGTGTTACAGATTAGCAGGCGCAGAAATGGTTGAAGTGATTAATTATTCCATGTAACTGGAAGACCTGCCTTTTATATTCCATATTAAAAACAACAACCAAAACATCTTTGAATTCAAAAAAGCGTGTGTGTATTCTGTGACATTTGAGCTCTTGATAGAATGAAATACAATCTGGTCAGGTTTCTAAATGAGAGGCTCATGGGAGGATGGGGATATCTTCTTAGCTGATTTCCTTTTGGGTGAGTGCAAACATAGAGGGGAAATTGTCTTGCTCAGAACGGATGGCATTTGTATTTAATTGGTTATAGCTTCCAATATACTAGGTTAGGTAGTGGGAATATATTTTCATACAATAGATACTGTTGGAGTGCAACTCCTGTGATCCCTCACCTTTGGACAATTACCTGAATTATGTAGTGTTAGCTAGGGGTTTCTGTTTATCAAAATCTAGAGGGCAAAATATTCCCCTTCTCTGCATTAGACCCGACCAGTCCAAACTGCATGGCAAGGAAATAGGAGATACTCACTTGGGAACATCTGTGCAGGGTAAGATAATGGATAAATTTACATAATTATTTTGATTACAAAATTCATGATGTAGGAACACAGATTTATTTTTTTCCCTCCCTTGTTGTCGGTCTGCCCTAGTGGGAATGCAAAACTCAGCACTTGGGAAATTATTTCTGAAACTTAACTAAGAAAGCTAATTATTTTGTTTAGCTAGCTGGATTTCTGTAGGATTCTTAATTGCTAGCTATATGTTTGCTACTCTTGAATTAGCATATGTAAAAAAGTGAAAAGCAATTTAACCCTAAGGAAGATTGTTGCCAGGAGGCTTCAGGAATGAAGAGAGGAGAGGAATGTATAGATCTGTCTGTTTGTTGGAAGATTTTACCCAATCAAACCAATTCCTGTATCACTATAAGAAGGTGAAACAAACCTTCAATAGGCTTTACCTTATTCTCGTGTTGTTCCTGTTGCACCTCAGCAGGAGTTCAGCTTGCTCTAAGCACTCACCAGGAAGCCAAACGTAATAATAAACAGTTTATTGATAAAACACACAGCAAAAGAGTAAAAATCCAAATATATGAAGAAAAAATAAGTCCCAAAAAGCAAAAGATAAATCTCCAATACAAAGGTTAAAGCTTGAACATTAATCCAAAAAGAAAAAGAAAAGAAAACAAGAAACAAAACTAGTACTTGAATCCATAGGTAAAATCCCCAACACTGGTAGCAAAACTTGACTAGGAAACTTGGCCTGAAGCTAAAACATAACCAGGAAAAAAAGCAGGAGCTTCTCGCTCCATTCGCGATGTTGCTTGATCTGAAACTAAACAGCTTCCTTTCCCTAATTAAGGATAGCAATGCATGAAGGCATTCAGTTGACCTTGAGAGGCCTGTCTCTGCCTCTCTTCCCCATGGCTCTGCTTGGACCTGGATTTCTTCCCCCACAGGAGCAGCCTTGATTCTCTGTCTAACCCCCCTTCATCGGGTGAACTTGTGTCCTCCTCCCTTCTCTGCCTGTCAGCTTATTTTTAAAAAATCACTTTCACACAGAGGAGCAACATCTAATTTCAACCCCCCCCCCCCCCCATTCTCCCAACCAGGGAATTACCAACCTGTTCCAATATCCCCTCTGCTGAGCACCTCCTGAAGCATCAGGCCCTGCACTCCCAAACCCCTCATCAACAGCAGCAGCAGCAGCAGCTGGCTGAACTACAACACTTCCATAATTAGAACTTTGTAGTTGTTGCTTGAGGAAGGGGGACACACTGCAACTGTAGAGACATACCAATCAGTCTACATATGCTCCCAGGGTCACTATTCACGTAATCCTAAGGAAATGTTAAGCACACTTAAAACACATCATTGTATTAACTGGGAAAATCATCCTCCTACTAGAAGGGGCCACAAGTGGGTGGTGGGAAGGAAAGTCTTGAAAATATGGCATGCCAGATCTACTGCATTTTGAGGCTTCCTGTTCATTCTACAGGAGTACTGCCACCAAGTCCTCTTGTGAGCGCACCACTGAACCAGGTAAGGGGTTTAGTTGTTTGATGCTTGGCATTACAAGAGCTATTAGAAATGAGTCATCTCATCATACAAAATGACCATGACATTGTCAGACTAATTCTTGACAAGCTAGAGATGCCTACAGGGAAAATTGCACTCAAAAGTATCTAGCAATGTGTTATATCTTGCAAGTAATGTACTGAAAGCATCCCCAAAGAACAGGTGCCTCCTCGCATGAGCAGGTAGAACATTGTGATCACATCCTGTAAACACTTTTGTCATCTTGGAATCTACCAATAAATGGTAAAAGCAGGAGTCCATTGTCTGTTGTGGTGGTCATAGTCCATGAGTATACTCTTTCAGGCAGGGGGTCATAGTTTGCATCTGCCAATCTCCTTAATGATCAATTGTAAGAACCCCAGTCCAAGGTCTAAAATGAGATACAGCCTCAGATGTGGACTAAAATCAATGGAAAAGTTCTGACCTTTCAAACAGCTTTCCAGATGTTTTGGGTTTCAGTTTTCTACAGCTCCAAGCAATATGGTGAGAGATCCTGGGAGCTAGAGTGTAAGATTGGATGGACCACACATTGAAAACAATTGATCTAAAAAGAGTAAGGAGATGTAAGTATGCTCCTCGATTGTGCCAACAATCTATTCTCATAATCCTGCACTATTTTGGCTATCCTACCTATGTATAATTAGATTAGTTAAAGTCCTTGCCCCCATAATTTTTCTGCCAAAAGGTAGCTTTATCTACAGCTTTGAAAAGTTAGTTTTGGACTATCATTCCAAGAATCCACAAAGCAAAGTAATAATATAATAAAATAATAAAACTTTATTTGTATGCTGCTCTTATCTCCTCTAAGGGTCTCAGAGTGGTTTCCATATAGGCAAAGCATTCAATTACCAACACAGAATATACAGAGTAACCATTTCAAACATAGACATAAAACTATTAGCACAATCGTATACATTTAAAAACCAGTTCCAAAACTATTCGATAGTGCAAAGTTAAGCTACCAATGGCCAGAATTTCAAAGAGGGCTTAGATAGTTATGAAAGGGCTGGGCCAGGGCTAGTGCAGCAAAGTAACATGGGGCCGAGGGAGTGGGTAAAGTGCAACGCTAGGTCCTAACCGATGGCCAGAGTGGGGCCTGGGCTACTCATTTCCAAGGCCTACAGAGCAACTATAAAAGGTCTGGGCCAGGGCTAGTACCAGGAGGTGGCAGAGGACCAGGGAAGTGGGTAAAGTGCAGAGCAGGATCCTAACTGATGGCCAGGGTAGGGCCTGGGGCTAATCATTATCAAAGGCCTGCTAGAACCACCAAGTCTTTAGGTCTCTGTGGAACGAAAACAGTGATGGGGCCTGTCTTGTCTCCCTGGGGAGGATGCTCCAAATACCGAGAAGGCCCTCTACCCCGTCCCTACCAACTGCACTTGGGACAGTGTGAGAGCAAGAGGAGGATCTCCCTGGTAGAGTCTACGCTAGTCCAAAGGAGAGATGCTATCGCGGAGATAGGTAGGGCCCGAACCATTTAGGGCTTTCAAGTAACTGGAGAATCTGGGAGCTGCAATCCTAACTGTGGGTGTATGTGTTTTGTTGGTTTGTGTGCTACTATGAGCTAGAAAGTGAAAGTGAAAATGTGTGAGAGAGATTGAGGGAAGCAATTGATTAATCAGATACACAAACTAACAATAAAACATAAAAATAAAGTAGGAAGAGAAAAGGCCCATACCAAGGATAGACGGTTACAGTAGAAGTAGCGTTGATGGTATCCCACATTCATTTGTTGAAATGACTATTACAGTGGATCGATAGTTCAGCTTTGAAAGATTAGACCAATTAAAAATTAAATATAGCAAATCCATTAAAGCTCATCTGAATGACAAAAAGAAGCTATACTGTTTACCATAAAATATGGTTTCTAGTTACTTCCAGAAGTCTGTTTCTAGAAGCATTTCTCAGATGCATTTTGGCAGGATTTTCTTTCTGTATTAGACTTTTGTACTAATGGCAGTAATGGAAAAGTAATAAGCAACTTATCAACACATGCAGTAAGTTCACTTTTCCATTATTTTAATAAGATCAAATGAGTTTTAAAGTAATGTTCCAATTTCTGGTCTACATATCTACAATGCTCTAAACAAAGTGATGGCTTTTTTGTTTTGGCAGGCCTTTGTCCTTTTACCATTACAAAGAAAGTATATGCACAACCAAGGGGGCATCTATATGGCATCACCTTAACTGCCATGGCGCAATGCTATATAATCCTATAGTTTGATGAAGCATCAGCACTCTTTGGTAAAGAAGGCTACAAATATAAAGCTAGAACTTTCATGATTCTGTAACATTGAGACGTGTGTTAAAGTGGAGTCAAACTGTTTCAATTCTACAGTGTAGGTACACCCAAAGTAAACCAGCAGATGTCAGCAGAGTTCTATAATGCAAAGAGAGCAGGATGCTTCCTTAAATACAACAAAATCCAAGGCTGT